GCAGTAAAGGCCCTGCTGCATGAGCATGAGGACTAAGTTTGGGTCTCCAGAACCCACATAAAAGGTAGATGCAGTAACATACATCTTAACCCCCGGGCTGGGGGATTAGAGACAGGCAGATCCCTGGATCCCGTTGTCAAGCATATGTAGCCAAACTGATGGGCTCCAGGTTCTGTGGAAGACTCTTGTCTCAAAAAATAGAGGGCCATTAAGGAAGGCACCTAGCATCAGTATCTGGCCTCACACCCCCCCACACATACACATGCACACATACAAACATGTATATATACACCACATACACGTACACACCACACACAAACAACAAAAAAAAAACCCACCAAAAAACTACAAAAAAGAAACTGAATATACAATAAAGGTGAAAGTACTACAGGGAAACCAGGCAAAATAGTCAATTACTGTAACGGTAACCATTGGGTATCCCTGAGGAGTTGCAGTTGGCCTCTTATCTTAAATCGTACTAGACAGTCACTTTCTAATAAATTAAAATTTGATAGTGAAACTTTAAAAGAGTGTGTGTATGATCTTGGGATGCCAGATTTCTTTTAAAACTGTAAAAATAACCATATAGGAAAAGATTAAAAGTAAAGGCTTTCATCAGAAGAATATAAAAGAAGTGAAATTTCAAACTGAAAAGTGGAAAATATTTATAACGTGTAACTGAATGACAGAGGGTTTCCTTTGGCTTCATATTCAGTCCACATCTTCAAGATCCACAAACCAAAGGAATTTAGTGACCATTTCATGAGAAAGGAAATCTACAAGGCCAAAACATATTTGAAAAACTGTTCTATCTCTTTAATAATCAGGGAGGTAAAAATTAAAATCGTAATGAGATGTCCTTGTGAAAAACTTTCAAATGTAAGTCTAGGCAACGATATGAAGCCATGAAAACTCTTGTGTACTGGTGGTAGATCTGTAAATGCTATAACCACTTTGGAAACCAATTTGGCATTCTCTTGTGAAGATACATTTTGTTATGCAACATTGTCATTCCTAGGTATAGTTCTAGATCAGTGTATAAGAATGGTATAGTAGCCAGGCATGGTGATACACACCTGTAGTCCCAGCACTTGGGAGGCAGAGGCAGAGGCAGGCGGATCTCTCTGAGTTCAAGGCCAGCCTGGTCTACATAGTGAGCTCCAGACCAGGCCAGCTGGGGCCACAGGGAAACCCTGTCTCAAAAGAAAAAAAAAAAGCAACCAACCAACCAAAAAAAAGGATGCTATAGTAGAATTCTATAAAGAAGATGAAATTGAAGGAATATTGCACTAAGCAACTACATGAATCTCAGCTGTTGAATAAAGGTCACAAAAGCATCACAGAAAGTATGCTTCTAATTTTAGATAATTCAGAGCTGTGGAAAAACAATCATTCTCCTTCTTACTTCCAAGATATCTACCTACATCCTGATCCCTGTAACTTGTGTGTATATTACTTTACATGGAAGGGAAGTTAAAGTTGCCATTCAGCTGATTTCAGATAGCACCTGGATTCTTGGGGGCAGGGCATATGCAAGAGGCAGTGTCACATGGTGCACATACAAACAAGCAGGTACACATACATATAACACTTAAATTTTTTTAAAAAATTAAGTATATCAAACCAAAATATACAAAGAACAAATGGAGGAGATGCAAATAATGATAATGGAGGAAAATTTTTTCTGACTTGGAAGAAGGGTTGAAAGAGTCCTTGGAGGGGCCATCAAGGTGGCTTGGTGGTTAAGGGTACTTGACACCAAACATCACAACATAAACACAATCCCCAGGACCCACATGGTGGACAGAACCAACTCTGGCAAGTTGTAAAAAAGTTTTTAGAGTTCAGACTAGTAAGGTGGTGGTAGGCAGAAAAAAATGCTTACAAAAGTAAAGTAACCAGATACTCCCGGGACCTGCCCCTGTGACAGTAGATACAGGAAGGGAGTGAAACAGCATCTACAGATTACTAAGAATGTGCCTATATATAGCCCAAATGTCATTTACTTAATTATGGTTAAAACGAGATCTTTGTAGATATGCAGGAAGCCAGAGGAGGGATTATCCAAATCCTCAATCTAGAGAAAGTTCTAAAAGATTCTCACCAGGAATTCTCAACAGAGACTTGTAACATTTGTCTCTTTCTAGACAAGAGTGAAAACAGTGGGAAGAGGGGGGGAAGCAATTGAATCTCACAATGCAGTTAGTTGCATCTAGATGGATAATGACAGTGTAATGATGTATCAACACAGTCCTTTGTTCTCTGTATTTCATGAAAGTTGACAGTTGAGTTAGAGGCTTGATAAGACTCAGGTTCTTGTCTTTTTCTTGTAATGGGAGATAATTTCTGATGGCTGATGGCTCCCTTCCTCTCCTCCCCTCTTATCCTCTCTTAAAAAAAGACTGTATTTATTGGGGTGGGGGGGTACACATGCATGGCACACTTGTGAAGTTCTTGGAGTAGTCATTTCTTTCCTTCCACCGTGGGTTCCAGGGATCTAAGGGTGTCAAGCTTATGGCAAGCTCTTTACCCATTGAGCCATCTTGGCCCAGCCCTGAACCTCCTCTTCTGTTGTTGGGTTTTTTGTTGATGTTTGGTTGGTTTTGGTTTTGGAACTTTTTGTTTTGTTTTGTTTTGTTTTGTTAGTCAGGGTCTCACTTTATAGAGCTGGCTAGCCTAGAGCTCACTTTGTAGACCAAGCTGGGTTTTAACTCACAGAGCTCCACCTGCCTCTGCCTCCTGAGTGTTGGGATTAAAGTGTGCATCACTTTGCCTAGCACTGTTGTCATTTTAAGGTAGGGTCTCTGGATGCAGCTCTGTCCAACATCAAATGCACAGTCTTCCTGTCCCAAGTACCCAAGTGCTGGAATTAAGTATGCCATCATATCCAGCTGTTCTGTTTGCCTTTTTATAAAGATAGTCATTGGAGGGCTTGTGAGATGGCTCAATGGATAAAAAGCACTTGGTGCCAAACCTGACAACCTGAGTTCAGTCCCCAGGATCCATGTGATGGAAGGAGAGAACTGACTCCTCCAAATTTTCCTGTGACTTCCATATGGGCACTGTGCTCCACACACATGCATGTGTGTGCACACACACAAAGAAATAATGTTAATTTTTTTTTAATGAGTGTATTGCCTGCATGTGTATAAGTCAACCCATGTCATGCAATGCCTGAGGAGGTCAGAAGAGGGCATCAGATCCACTGAAACTAGAGTTGCAGATGGTTGTTAGCTGACATGTGGGTGCTGGAAATCGAACCCAGGTTCTCTGCAAGAGCAGTTAGTGCTTTTAACTGCTGAGCCATCTCTCCAGCCCCAATAATGTTAATTTCTTTTTTTCATATTTTATTTTATCTTTTTGTGTGTGTACAAGTGTATTATCTGCATGTATGTGAGTGCACCCGTGTCGTGCAGTGCCGCAGAGGTCAGAAGAGGGCATCGGATTCCCCTGGAACTAGAATTAAGGATTTTGTTAGCCTCCATGTGGGTACTGGGAATCGAACCCAGGTTCTCTGCAAGAGCAGTCAGTGCTCTTAACCACTGAGCCATCTCTCCAGCCCCTAATGTTAATTTCTTAAAAAGAATAGCCATTGGAGCTCTAGTCTAGGTCCGTTAATGCATTGGGAGTTGCAAAATGGTGATATCCTCACTTTTTCATCCAATTTATAACTAGGATGCATTCATTTCATCATCTGACTCTTGGTTAGAAGATATCTAGGTTACTCAATGATATCTTCACATAGGAAAGGCAAGATAAATGTCTGATTCTTCTTGTTTTGGTCTTTTGAAGACAGGGTCTCCCTGTAGCCCCAGCTATCCTGGAACTCACTATGTAGACCAGGCTGGCCTTGAACTCACAGAGATCCACCTGCCTCTGCCTCCTGAGTGTTGGGATTAAAGGCATGCGCCACCACAACCGGCCAGTTCTTCTTAATTTATCAGTTTAGAGGCTAATGTATTTATTTTCAGTCATCTTTTGGGAAGTGTATCATTATAAACTCATAGTTGAATAATGTATTTCAATTCTAGCATATGTATGTATGTATGTGTGTATGTATGTGTGTGTGTGTATATATATATGAATATTCCTGTACCGGAATAGAGAGAGAGAGCGAGAGAGCAACAAGTGCTCTTAACCACTGAGCCATCTCTCCAGTCCTTCAGTTACTATTTTTATTAAAGCTCACATTGTGTCATTGGAAGCAAAGAAGGTTCCTGAGTCATTCTAACAAGCTTTGATTGTCTTTGGGGTGATTGAGCTAGGGGAAGTGGCTCAGTGGGTAAAAGGTGCTTGACAACTTGAGTTCGATCCCTAGATCCCATGGTGAACCTACTCCAGAAATTTGTCCTCTCACCTCCATGCATGCACTGTAGCATATACTCTTATCTCACATGCATACACAATAATAGTAGTAGTAATAATAATATCAACAAAAAAGGTAGGACAATAATTTTTTTGGTTTGCTTTGTTCCTGGTATTCTAAAATCCTGGGGTTTTTTTGTTTGTTTGTTTGTTTTTTGTTTTTTTAACTTCTTGAGACAAGTTCTCTCTGTAGTCGTAGCTGGCCTGGAACTTTCCCCTATGTAGACCAGGCTGGCCTTGATCTCACAGATAACCACCTGCCTCTGCCTCTTGGTGGGATTAAAGGTGTGCACAACCATACCTTGCTCTGCAAATGTTTTCAGTGCCTTGAGAAGGTGGGTTTTGGAGGATCTGTTTTTCCTATGATATTCAGATATAATTTGTAGGCAGATGTCTTAGAACTTGTGTGACTTACAAAGAGTAAAGTTCATTTTTAGTGTGTGTGTAAACACAAAAGGAATCAACATTTCCCAGCAATAGGGTTAGCGATTTATGTTTAATTGAATGCTTATGTTGAACCAATTTTCACAATAAGAACTTGTAAGAATTCAAGTAATTTTGAAACCTATATATCAAACATTTCAACACAGTAAATTCCAAAGACTGACTTTAAGCTTAATTATGTTTTCTTTCAGATCTGTCACGAAATCGTCTCTCAGAAATCCCTATCGAAACATGTCACTTTGTTTCTCTTGAGAATCTTAACCTGTACCAGAATTGTATTCGATACATCCCAGAGGCCATTCTAAACTTACAAGCTCTGACATTCTTGAATATTAGGTAAGAATATTATTCCTTTAAACATTTTTTAATTTTGTATGGTCTTTAATTTTCTTTGCTTTTTCAAATGTTTACAGTTATTCATGTTATCTGTTTGTATTATCAGTGTCTGTTTATATTCTTAGGATGTAGTAACTGTTTTCCCCATGTTTCTCTAATCTCTCCCTTTAGTTGTGGTTTACTACCAGTCAGCCTGATGGACCTGCAGCAGTGGTTCTTCAATTACATTTTCAAATTAGCGACATCAAATAAGATAGTAGATCTGATTTGGTTCTTGTACCATAGTTGCATGCATATTAAGTTCTGAAAATGTAAATATATTTATTCAGCTCATCTCCAATTTTCATAGGTAACAACTCTGTTACTATGAAAGTTATAAAAGTTCACTAGAAAAGAAAATGAACAAATTTAGAAAAGTGTAAAGGTGCTGGGTGTGGCGTCTTACCCCAGTAATCCTAGCCCTTGGGAGACAGAGGCTGGAGAATCAGCCACAAATTCAAGACCAGCCTGGTCTGCATAGTAAGTTCCAGGTCAGCCAAGGGTTACATAGTAAGACCCTGTCTCAAAGAAGAATACAAAAAAAAAGAGAGGGGCTAGAGAGATGGCTCAGTGGTTAAGAACACTGGTTGTTCTTGCAGAAGACCTGGGTTCAAATCCCAGCACCCACATGGCAGCTAACAACTGTCTGTAACTCCAGTCTCAGGGGATCCAACGGCCTCTTCTGACCTTCAAGGGCATTGCATGACATAGGTGCACTTACCTACATGCAGGCAATACATGCATACACATAAAATAAAAACAATAAATTAAAAAAAAAGAAAAGAGAATGTAAAAGAAGTTCACCAAAATGTCATATCTGAATTATATAATTATAGATACTTTCCTTCTGTTTCTCCAGGCTTTTAATCAAGCTATTTAAAAAAAAAAAAAGATTTATTTAATTATGTGTATGTGTATGTTGGGGTATGTGCACTTTAGTGCAGATACCCCCAGAGGCTAGAGGAGGAAGTCAGATCCCCTGGACCTAGAGTTACAGGCAGTTCTTCTGAGCCCCCACTCCCCCAACATGGTTATTGGGAACCAAATTTAGGTCCTGTGTAAGAGCAGTGCATGTTCCTAACCACTGAGCCATTTTTCTAGCCCCTTAGTCAAACTTGTAAAAATGTTTTCTCCTGTGCTGACTAGACTGGCCTTGAACTCACAGAGATACACCTGCCTCTGCCTCCCAAGTGCTGGGATTAAAGGCATGCACCACCACACCCAGCTATATCACTTCTTTTTTTTTTTTTTTTTAAATTTTTAAAAATGATTTATTTAATAACAACATACTTAGAAGAAGCATATCATTACAACACAATTGACATATTCAATAACGTTTTCCTGAGGTAGGATGCATCTCTTTCAAATTTGGCTGTAAATTTTTAGGTTTACAGTTGAATTATTACAGTTATACAATATTGTACTCATTATAAACCCTATAAGACATAAATTAAATGATGTTTTAACCTTTAAAAAGATCTCCATTTCATTATTAAAATACACAGTTTCATATAGAAAAATTCTTTTTCAATGCAATTGACATTGGATGTTTCCATATGCGTTGCTAATCTCTATATATCTGATTATTACTAGTTACAGTCTGTTACTTTCTGAGCTCCTTGGCATCTGAGCATGGATATAAAGTCATCAATTAGATTTCAATGGTAATGTTTTTCATATCTACTAATTATTAAGGAGGACATTTTCATGCCTTGAAGACTCATGTATTGCCGTAGATGAGGAACAGCTGATCCTCCTGGAACAGGGACCTCTGGCTGAACTAGATTTACCAGAAGGGCAGACAGGGGGAATGGATGAGGGTGCTGACAACACAGTGGACAGTGACAGGGATGGCAGAGTATGGAGCCTCTAGTGGGAGAGGAAGGCTGTCTATCTGACGAGTTTGTATTCATGCTCAGATGCCAAGGAGCTCAGAAGGTGGGCGACTGTGACCAGTGATAATCACTTCTTTTTTTTAAAATGTACTTATTTTTATTGTGTAAGTATGTGTGCTGTGATACACATGTAGAGATCAGAGGACAACTTTGTGGAGTTAATTATCTCCTTTTATGTGGTTTCTGAGGATCAAACTCAGGTTGCCAGGCTCTTCAGCCAGCACCTTTACCCACTGAGCCATCTTACCAGACCTAAGAAATTCTTTTCTAGTAAATACTTTGCTACCCAGTTTATATATTTAAAAAAAAAAAAAAAAATCTGGGTCTGGAGAGATGGCTCAGTGATTAAGAGCACTGACAGCTCTTACAGAGGACCCAGGTTCGATTTCCAGCACCCACATGGCAGCTATGAACCATCCTTAACTCCAGTTCCAGGGGAATCCAAAGCCCTCTTCCGACCTCCACTGCATTGCACGACATGGGTGTGCTCACACACATGCAGGCAAGACACTCATACACATAAAATAAAATTAATAAAATATTTAAAAAATATAATCTGCCAGGCATGGTGGCGCACGCCTTTAATCCCAGCACTTGGGAGGTAGAGGCAGGCAGATCTCTGTGAGTTCAAGGCCAGCCTGATCTACATAGTGAGTTCCAGGACAGCTGGGGCTACAGGGAGACCCTGTCTCAAAAAGACCAAAAAAGGAGGGGGAGGGAATATATATATATTCCACACCTGTGCCTGGAGAGATTCCTTATGATTAAGAACATTTACTGTTCTTTCAGAAGACCCAGATTCAGTTCCTACCACCCCTGTCTGGCAACTCACAACCACCTGTAACTCTAGCTCCTGGGAACCCAATGCCCTCTTCTGGCGTCTTTGGGCACTGCACTCACATGCACAAAGCCACTCTTGGACACTTATATAATTAAAACTAAAAATAAAACCATAAAAATGATCCATTCCTCTCAGAAATTTAGTTTCACTAGTTTTTTATTGTTTAGTTTCACCAGTTTTTACCATGATAAAAATAACATTACTAGAGAAATCTGTATGTAAATGTTTATTTTTCTCTTTTCTTATTAAACATAGTAGGAATAGAATTATTAAAGTTTTAAAGACTCATAATCTGTTATTAATCAAAAAATCTTGAAAATGGGGAAAGACTTGGTCCTGGAAGGATTGTTATGGGGTTAGGAACTACATAGTAAATTTTCAATTTGGTTTATTCCAATGATATGTTTTGCTATTTTACTTTTAACTGTGATTTTCATGTTTTTTTATAAATAAAGATTCCTTACTTATAACTTAGTTGATATCATATGTGAAATCACAGCCTATCACTTGTTTTTCATAGAGTTATATTTGAATCACTTGTGTTCATTTGTTTATAACATTGTAATGAGGAAGGAAATAAATTATAAATAATTTTCTCGTTCTTCCAGAGGGGGAAAAAAGGATATGATATTCACTTTTACTAAAGTAATTTTTCTTACTTAAAATTTCTTTTATAAAATAATTGTTATATTTACATAGCATATCATTCTTTTGTTGTTGCTGCTGGTGACCAAACTCAGGGAGTTGTGCTTGCAAGCCAAGTATTTTTCCACTGAGCTAAATCCCTAACCCTAGCACTTGGTTCTTTGTAAGCACCTTGAAAGATAAGAGAAGTGGGGAAGGTGTTGAACTCCTCCATTTTATAGATGAGGAATCTCTTAAGATTATAGCTAAATAATGCTGATCTAGTATCCTGTTTGTTCCTTGTAAGACTATTCTTTGTGTGTGTCTAAAATGACAAGGATGGAAAAATTTTATTCTGTGATAGGTTCTGACTGCTTTTTTTCTACTCATCCATTTAGTCGAAACCAACTGTCAACGTTGCCAGTACACTTGTGTAATTTACCACTGAAAGTCTTAATTGCTAGCAATAACAAATTGGTCTCGCTTCCAGAAGAAATTGGACATCTCAGACATTTGACGGAACTTGTAAGTTAATTTTATTTTTTGATTGTCCAACATGTCTCTTGTCTTTTATATAATAAAGATCTATTATTGAGATTTAATTTTCAAGTAATTTCCATTGTTGGCTTGATATACAATTAAGAAAAAATTCAAGGGACTGGAGAAATGGTTCAGGGGTTAAATGCACCTACTGCTTTCCAGGGTTTGGTTCCCAGCACCCACATGGGAGCTAACACCCATCTTTAACTCCAGTTCCATGGTATCTGATGATACCTTCTTCTGGCATTTGAGGGCACCAGGCAAAATACTCATTGTTCTAGTTTGTTTCTCCATTGCTGTTACAAAACATTCTGACCAATACCAACTTGGGGAGAAAAGGGTTTATTCAGCTTACATCTCCCAGATCACAGTTCATCAGGGAGCCCAGGGTAGGAACTCAGGGCAGGAACCTGGAGGCAGGCGCATAAGCCATGGAGGAATGCTGCTTACTGGCTTGCTCCCTGGCCCCTGCTCAGCCTGCTTTCTTATGAAACACAGGCCCATCTGCCCAGAGGTGGCGCTATCCACAGTGGGCTGGGCCCTCCAACGTCACTCAACAGTCAAGAAGATGCCCCACAGACATGGCCACAGGCCAGTCCAATGGAGGCAATTCCCCAATTGAGGCTCCCTCAACCCAGGTGTGTCAGGTTGACACTAAAGCTATCCAGCACATTCATAGACACAAAATAAAAATAAATTAAATATTAAGCTGCTAAGGGAGAAAACGAATCAGTGGTCCTACCCAGCTGTGAAGCCTGATAAATAACAATAATGGGCCCAGCAAACTATTGCTGTTAGTGCTGTAGTGACACTTTTTTCTTGGAGGTAATCAACAGCCATCTAATTGGAATTAAGGCCTGCTCAATAGGAGGGAACTCCTGTGCAGTACTGTAAACATAGACAGAGACACATGGCTGGAGAGGTCATAGATCCTAGAGAAAACCCTGCCACATCCCTAGACCAATGTAATATCTTAATTCTAAATATGCATCCTCCTATTTACAGACAAGTGTACCTTTCACCCCTCATCAAAGAAGATTCTTTTTGTAACAGATGGAGTCTATTAACAGAATTCCAGAACTGATCAAATGTAGAGAAAAAGTATTGTGAGACACTTAACTCTAAGTGATACATCTTTAATGCAACCTCTACACTTAGGATGAATGCGTCTCTTTACTCTCACCAGAGAAGCTTCCTAATGCAGCAGATGGTGATTACACAGAGACCCACAATTAGCCAATGTGCAGAGAACAAGAGACTGCAGGTACTTACCCTTGAATAGGACAGCTGTTTCAAACCTCTGCCTCTCAAGGCTCAGGGATCATTGCAGAAGAGGTGGAAAGATTAGAAGAGCCAGAAGGGGTGGATGACCACAAGGAAACAGTCCTTCAGACATCTGGTCATTTACTCTTATGAACTAACAACAATGGTGACAGCATGCACAAGTTCTATTTAAGCTCAAACCAAACAAAATCTCAGCATAGACATGAGGAAGTGGATAAGAAATCCCAACCCAGCCCAAGGAACTTTTGGCAACTGATGGCTGCTGAGAGGGACAAAGAAAATGTTTTACATGTTTGAGATTCTTCTTTTTAAAATTCTTTATTTTTGTTTTATGTATATGAGTGTATTGCCTGCATATGTGTAAGTGCACATATGTCATACAATGTCCATGGAGGTCAGAAGTGGTTGTTGGATCCCCTGGAACTAGAGTTAGAGATGGTTGTCAGCTATCATGTGGGTGCTGGGAACCGAACTTGGGTCCTCTGCAAAAGCAGCCAGTGCTTTTTTTAAAAAAATATTTTATTTATTATTTTTATTTTATGTGTATGAGTGTATTGCCTGCATGTGTGTGAGTGCACCCATGTCATGCAATGCCGCAGAGGTCAGAAGAGGGCTTTGGATTCCCCTGGAACTGGAGTTAAGGACAGTTCGTACGTAGCTGCTCTGTGAGTGCTGGAAATTGAACCCAGGTCCTCCACAAGAGCAGTCGGTGCTCTTAGCCCCTGAGCCATCTCTCCAGCCCCAGGGTTGAGATTCTTGGTGGGCCCAGTGAATGGATCCACACTGAAGGACATTTGGGGACACATATCTTACTCTATAGGCCATATTGTATATATGAGAGTTCATTAAATTGGGAGTGGAGCAGTGTGAGGAGGTGGGGACAGGGGAGCGGATCTAAATGCCATCAAACTATATTGTATAAAAATTGTGAAAATTCAATAAAAATGCCAAAAAAATTTCAAAAGAAAGAATTCAAAGTACAAATCTAATTGGCTTCATACAAAATGGGAAAATGTCATTGGTTATTTTCTAACCAGTGTTAAATGATTTATGCATTTAAAATTTTTAAGGTATAAGTTAATGCTTTTGGATTTTCAAATTAAATTGTTGATATTGTCAATATTATAATTTTTAGCCCTTAGTGAACAGGTGCTCCAAAGGTCAGGCTTTTTTCTTTTTTCCTATCTTATCTTTGGAATATATGACCAGCTCTATACTATTATAAGACATTGCTTGAACTTTACCTGCTATTACTTATAAATTTATAAGAAACCGTGTCTTATGTATTTATGTTCTAAACTTAGGAGTCAGACTTTTTCATTTAATCAGTACAGTAATAGCAGGAAACGGATACTAAAGTTCATAGCTGAAGAAACTAGCACTCGGATTAAATACTTTACTGGAGGCTGTCTGACTGTAGAATTTGAAATCAGCGTACTTTAACTCTGAAGACCTTGTTTCACATTTATGAACTGGGCAAATAAACTATGGTCATTGAAATTTCTAATTATAGTTTCATGTTGGCTTATTAATAAAGGAGCTTACTATAAATAGAAGAAATACATATACTATGCATGTAGTTGGACAAATTAGATCACTTTTGGAGGGGTAGACTTTAAATATAAGAGGTTATATGTAAAAATTCACAGATATTAAATCCACAGTCTCGATTTTAAGCTACTGTTTTAGAGCTAGTTAGACTTTGGAAATAAAATTTAAAATATTTGCTTATTGGCATTCTTCATAGCTTGGATTAGTAACATGAAGCAGGCATAACTTATATTCCCATGTTCTTTTTGTTTGTTTTTAAATGTTTTTGTTTTTTGAGACAAGCTCCTACTGTGTAGGCTAGGCCATTCTAGAACTTACAATCTTCCAACCTTAGCCTACCAAATTCTTACTTTCAAATCATTTAAACTTTTAAAATGTTTATTCAATCCTAGATACTCAACAGATAGATATATGTTTGAGATGTTGCTTTTGATTTTCTTTTATTTTATTTTATATGTATGTATGTATTGCCTGCATGTAGGTAAGTGCACCCATGTTGTGCAATGCCTGCAGAGGACAGAAGAGGCTGTCAGATCCCCTGGGACTGGAGTTATGGACAGCTGTTAGCTGCCATGTGGGTGCTGGAATTCAAACCCGGGTCTTCTACAAGAACAGCCAGTGTTCTTAACTGCTGAGCCATCTCTCCAGCCCACAGTTGCTTTTTGATTTTCTACAAAAGTTGCTAATTGATACTCCCAATCATACAGGGATCTTGTGACAGAGGAAGGACCAGTGACTTCAAAGCTGCTGATTCTCATCTGATGATCTTTTTATAGCATCCTCATTTCTTCTTTTCCTTTTCCCCTGAATATTCTGAGTGAAAATAAATCATTATCTATCAGCATGGATGTTTTCTGAGAGATATATTACTGAAACCTTGTTATCACAGGTTCAATTTTTCTATCCTTTCAACTTCTTTTATGATCCTTTTTAATGCTCAGAGCAGTAGACCTAAATGTTCAGTTTCTGGTTTTACTTCAGTTCTTGGTGTATAGGATTATGAAAATTATATTCTCTAAGACATATTTTGAGAAAATAAAAAATAATGTCTGTGGCCGGGGAGATGGATAATCAAGTAAAGGCCCTTTCCAAGCCTAACAGCCTGGGTTTGATCCCTGGGACCCACATGGTAGAGGGAGAGAACCAACCGCCCCACAACTTGTCCTTTGAGTCATTTGCTTGCCCCTTGCCCCACATAAATAATAAAATAAATGTAGTAATTTTTTTTAACTTTCTGAAGCTTATTGGGGGTTTTGATAAGCAGTCTGGTTTTCTAAGTATATGTGTATTATTTTCTTTCACTCATGTATTAGAGGACTGTTAAGTGTTCATGTACAGCTTGGAACTTTTATTAACCTAGACAGCTTCCTTTTCTTTCTTATGATTGTGATTTTACAAATTACTCTGACTGGTCTTGAAATTATGGCATTCTGAATGTATTAATCTTGGAAATTCTAGCTAGTCATTCTCTTTTCAGACTCACTGGAGTCAAGCAGTAACCAAGCTCCAGAAGGCCTACCTAACATACATGCATATCAGACTGACTAGATCTAATAGAACAGTGTGTTTTTTTCATAGCCTTCGAGTTATGTATACTTTATTATTCATTTTCATAAGAATAATTTGAGTGTGTACATTTTTATTTTATATTCTTGAACAGTCACAATGATATTTTGAAAAAAATGGGAAGGGGTTGGCTGGAGAGATGGCTCAGCAGTTAAGAGCACTAGCTGCTCTTGCAGAGGACCTGGGTACAGTTCCCAGCACCCACGTGATGGCTAACAACTGTCAGTAACTCCAATTCTGGGGGATCTGATGACCTCCTCTGACCTCCATAGGTATTTCGTTATGGGCGTGAGGGGATCTCGGGGCGCCAGCTGCTAGCGTGGTGCCGGTCTCCTGCTCGCACCTGGGAAGGGGCGGGTCCCGCGGCTTGTCTGCTCTGTGTTGCTGGCGGGTCCCTGCTTCTCCGCGTCTCTGTGGGTCTCTGCTACCGGGGCTGGCCCGGTCGAGTTCCACCCCAATTTCACCCGTGCACTCTCTCTCTAAGTTCGGGACCCGTCAGCTGCCAGGTCAGGAGGAGAGGTGCGGGACGGCTAAAGCTGGATTTCCGTGAGTCGATGACGGAAGGATAGCGCCCCCCCCACACACACTGGATCACAGGATTTAGTGTTACAGCTTCAGACAAGTGACTCAGCTCAAATCTTGGTGATTCAGCTTCAGCTCCAGCTTTATTGGGGTAAAACTAGGACTATTTATAGTGTGGAGACAGTAGAAGAAGCCTTAGCTGATAGGTACTCCTGGAATGCTTCATTTACATAGGGCGGTGGGCTTCTATCAGGCTATCAGACAACACCTGATTAAAACCTGGTAGCTCCTGTGCCGGAGGGCAGG